GTTTCACCGTTAATCGATGATGATTCTCTCTGTTCGTATCGATAGTTGGAACAAGAGGGAATAAGATTAAGTTGACAATTAAGTTCCAGCATATTAGTGTAACCTTCATTCTACCATTGATAATCCACGTATATAAACTCTAAATTTAGCTATTTTTCATATTTGAATTCACTTAAGTTTATAATATTCATGTTTACTCAAACGTGATAACCACTATAAAAATATCATCTAACTTAACCATTAGGATAATACAAATATATTGTGTGTCTTCGCTCTCAGTGAATTCGATTACTAAGTATTTTAACTCGACCTTTCTTGGCAAAAATATTGTAGTTGTTTAATAAAGTAACTTGATCGATTGAATTATGATATTTTAAATCCTAAGAAAACTCCATGTCATTAGGCTTCTGCTAATTTTGAGTATATGAATCATGATTGATTTATTTACTCATTTTTGAGTATATTGAACTTCATATATTCGTTTGAAATGAACCACAGCTATTTTTCATTCTAATTATGTTAAAACTGATTAGTTTTTGCTGCATTTATTATGGTTTTAAATTTTAGCCCGTAAAATATATTTTTTTTGTTTTTGAAGAAAAGTACGTTAATAACTTTTTTTTTATGTATAAAGAGTTATTTTTTTTCAAATGTAAATATATTCTCTTTTTTTTGTTGGCAAAATGATATTCCTTATTATGTTGATTTATGAAAATGTGAATAAAATTGTTATTTATTTAAACTATCTATTTATAGATATTTCCTTTTATTATTTATGTAAGTTTTGTAAAATATTAAGGTAACTAAAACCCAATAAAAATTATTAGGTAGAAAAAATTACAATTTTTAAATAATGATAATTATATGTAATTTTAATGTATTAAGATTAATTTTGCAATTCACCATCGTTAGAATTAACATGAAAACGATGAGTATGAGATTGACTTCTCAAATAATACTATAGAATTTTTTTTTTGGTTATTACAACAAATAACATTTTCGTAAAATGCAATAATTTGCTATTTAAAAACTTAAATTCAATAATTTGCTATTTAAAAACTTAAATTCAATAAATGTTAATGTGTATTTCTTGTGTGTGATGATTCTACACCATTAATAATAGAAAAGAAAGGAAACAGCTGTGGTTGGGCTAACAAGAAAATTGAAATGAAGATAACCTTATCTAAAGAATCATATTCCCAAGCTCAGAAACTGCCACGTAAGACTCATATCTCCTAGTACTCATATCATATCTTTTGTTTATTCTCATAGACCAAACTCACATTGCAAACCAAACTCGAAAAGATCGAAGAGAAGAGGCAAAGAGATGGCTTCTACCTCCGCCGTGTCATTGTTCATGCCACTTACCCAAAACCGTTTATCGTCGTCGGCAAAACCAATTGCCTTAGTTAAGCCATTGCTTTTGAGGCCATCTAAGGCGTCATCCTCCTCCTTAGCGAGGCCTTCACGGAGCTTTCAAGTGAAAGCATCTAACATGAAGATGGAGAAGGCTGTGAGCGGCTTAGCAGCAGCAGCTCTCACCGTTTCAATGGTGATCCCTGAGGTGGCTGAAGCCGCAGGCACAGGAGTCTCTCCTTCTCTCAAGAACTTCTTGCTTAGCATTGCCGCGGGAGGAGTGGTGCTCACAGTCATCATCGGTGTGGTTGTTGGTGTCTCCAACTTTGATCCTGTTAAGAGAGGCTAAGCACGAGAGATGTCTATCATTTTAGTATGGTAATGCTTTGTGAATTCATGTAATGTTTCAGCAATGAACTTTTTCATCCTTCCTCCATCTTATATTTGACGATTCTCCATTGGTCTCAAGATTACATTTTCTTTTATCTCCAGAACTTATAATATATTAGAAATAGGGAAATTGCATCCAGTAGCATAAAAAAAAACTATAATTCACTCGTTGTCCATTTGCCCTACTTTTTACCAATATGTGTTGTATAATGTATAATAATGCAAGTTTGCCCTTTTAGTTTACCGGGACAACCTGCAAAACAAAGTTAAATTTATATTAGGTATTATTTATTGGAACATGTGGATGTGGCTATTCATCTGTCAAAAACTTTTCACTGTATCAAATTTTTAACATGTAATAATTGAGGAACCGTAACAAATTCTTTTCTTTCTGTGATTACGAAGCTTCCGAGCACATCACCGTCAACAAATTTTGGAGGAGCAGGCCAATTCTAAGGACGCCGTCGAAGAAAAGAGACAAAAAAAATTCACCGATTCAAAAATCTGAAGTTGCGATGACGGTATTGCATCCGTACATCCATTTTATGTTGCATGTAAGATTAGGTATGACAAAGACAAAAAGAAGGTTGAGGAAAGAGACTTGAATACATGATTGTTGAATTGCATGAAACGAAGAAGGAGATAAGAGATGAACAAAATGTGTATTCCTACACTATTCTATTTACAGAGGTTCCATACTATATCTAATACAGAATGAGAAATTTGTAGCATATTATATAAATTATATTTGGTTTTATAAATCAGTGATTAGGGTTTAGAGTTTTTAAGTAGGTTTTTTCTTGGGTTTTAATTTTTAAGCATAATAGCAACTAAGGGAAATGGATAAACTGCTCATTCTATATTATTTATTAGGGTTCCATACTATGTCTAGTACGGTACGATAAATTTGCAACATATTATATAGATTATATTTGGGTTTATAGATCATTTATTAAGGTTTAGATTTAGTAATTACGAGTTTGTGTTGAGTTGAGTATCTAATATGTTGGGTAAGGTCTAATATTTTGGGGGCCATATTTATTGTAATCACACATTTACTATGTTCCCCAACCAAGGAAGAGTCACCTATGTGTGCCTCTATACTTTATATGTTGTTTTCGTATTTCGTATTTGGCATTGTATGCTTTAACCTAATTCCGCCACTATTCTTTAAACCACATGTATGGAAATGACAAATGCATTCTTATTGATCTTTAGTTCAAGTCTATTCTATAATTCATATTTATATGGTATAGTTTGATATTACAAAATACTATGATTTTTATATTTGAATTTAAGGTTTATATTTGGATTTAGAATTTAGTGATTAGGATTTATCGTTTAGTTATTAGAGGGTTTGGGTTTAGAGAACATGGGTTAGGGTTTAGTAATTATGTTTAGGCTTTGGGTTTAATAGGAACTATTTGTGTTAATCATATTTTTAAAACATAATTCTATTCTATTTTGTTCTTATATAGTATAGATAAATTACAGTATGTTAATTTTTTTTTTCTTTGTATTGGAGTATCACAAAGAACATATCCAAAAAAATTTAAGTATCCATTATAATCTCAATATTATCTAATATACCATACTATTTAAAGATTTACTGTTTTATACAGTATGTTAACGTGGATTTCATTCAATCACATAATTATATTTATATATCTGTAACTTCTGTCCACAACAACAACCACCAACGTCATCACTCTTTCTATGTTTAACAGGTTACTTGCAAATATTAAGGGTATAACTGGTTTAATAGGGGAATAAATGTTAGAAACTTAATTATGTCAAAATCATTGTTAGATTCTTAATTTCATCTGCAAATTTGGTTATCCAGCAAATTCTCCCTTAGAAATACTATGAGAAAATTCTTCACTAATACTGTCCCAAAGAGAATCATCCCCATGTAGTACCCAAACACGCAATTCCCTACTCTTTACCTCGTGAGGGGTAACTCAGTTGGTTCTTCAAAGAGTTGAGAGTACTGTGTACTCTCACTGCCAAAGCCACTTCTCCCACTTTATCTTTACACATTGCTAAGTGAAGCTGTAGATCAAAATCTCCTTGTATCATGACCCACTCCTCATTCAACCATATATGCATCTTCTTTATTTTCAATTCACTCGCATTTTCCTCAGCCTATCAAGTCACTGAACCCCGAGTTTGATGTCTGAGATCAGTAACTCCAATGGCAGGAAACTGATCTGCACTCTGCAAGTTGGTCAATTCGTCTCTACTTCATCAATTATACCTCAGTCCTGGTACCTTCACTCCTCCAGCAACAAAGACAACAAAACGTGAAGTGTCAGTGGCCACCATTTCCAACTATTGTTCACGAATCTCCTAAATGAAATTGTGGGAGGCTCAGCTATCGATGAGCACCACCACACTTTTGTTCCCAATCTTACCTGGAAGCTTCATCGTTCTCGGAGATTTCTGGCCCAGAACCGAATTGATAGACACCTCCGCTACTACTACTTCCACTTCGTCCTCTTTGTCAACAAACTCACAAGGTTCCTCCATCAACTAATCTTCACCACCGTTCTCGTGAATCAAAATAACTGTCAGTTATGGCTTCAAATACACATGATTAGAGTCGACATTGTCTCATCACCACCGGACCAATCCTCTACCTTCTTCACCATGCTCATTATTTTATGTAAATTATGAGGTTCAAACATCTTGACCCCAGCTCTAATCTTCAGCTTCAGTACAATCATGAACGCCATTCAAGCGCCTCTTTTGAAATTTCAGGAGCGCTAGAAGCGAGAGAAATAAAATCTCTGCAATACTCTTTCAGAGTCTCTTATATGAACTTATCTTCCTATGTAAATTCACCCAAATCATTGTATTAATTCTACTCCGAGGACTCAACTCTCAGATAATTGTTTTTACCCATGATCGATTTTAGGGTCTTTTGTATATATTTTGTGTCGTTTTAGAGTTATTGCAGGTATGTACGCTTTGGACATCATTGATGCTTTTGGAGCAATTTGGAGACTGGAAAGGCATGAACCTGAAAATTTCAAGTTGGAGTCGATTTCTAAGTGTGGTGTCAGTCAATACCCTCCCTTTTTTTCGCGAGAAAGCATAACTTCGAAGATATTTAAGAAAATTCAAGAAATTTTACACAGTTACAAAAGGGGCCAAATCGTGAAATCTATATCTTAGGATTTTTAGAGTTTTGGTAACTTACTCTAGGATATTTGAAGAATTTTTTTAAAGCTAATTTATAATGTGATGTGAGCATGACTAGACTATTAGCTGAACTCGCGGAGAAGGACCTGAACAAGCTAGAGGAGAGTGACGTTGAGGAAGAGCTGGATGAGCTGAACCAGCTAAATAGGAGTGACACCATAGCTGACTTTGGACGAGCTGAACAAGATGGACCTCAACGAGGTGGATCTAAGCCCGAAGACAAGACCGGATCAGCCATGACTTTCCAACTCATTCTACACAAGCCTAAGACCCATTCTTTCTCTCCAGTGTTCTAATAACCAGATCAAAGATAAGACAATTGAAGGAAGCAATTCTCGGATTGGTTTACACCAAACCAATCTCGACATCTGAAGAAAACGAAGTCAAAGAAGCCATGAAGCTGTTGAATTGCTCAGTCTTCAAGATTACCTAGTTTTTATCTAAATTACTATCGATTTCGACAAGTCCTAAGAGTGCTTTGTATTCCTTTCTTCCTACATAAACTGATTGCAAGTTTCTGAATAAAATCAATCACTTTTGTTATCAAAAACCTCTTACAAACTTGTGATTCCTTTGTTCAATTGCTTGGAAATCAAATTCGGCCAAGAGAGTGATCTCTCTAAGCCTTGGGGCTTGTTCACTAGTGGGGCTGCCTCTCACAGACTAAGATCTTCTGCAAGTGCTTGGTTAATCTGCAAACCAAACACTGAAGTTCATCTCTACCATTGACCATCAACTCCCCTTCTATCAATCATCAAGCGATCATCTCACAATCAGTGCTAATCACCAGATCTATCATCATCAAAACCTGTCTAGATCGACACTCAAGAGCATCCTAGGGTTCTTCCTTGACCAGGAAGTCATCATGTGGTATCAGAGCAGTTTGAGGGTGACTGATCATAAGGGGTTTGTGTCGATTACCATCTCTGTGTTTTGGGAACCTATTTTTCTCTGTTTCTTTGCAATTTTCTCTGCAAATTCTTCTCTGTTCATCTTTATCTATCTGTTGTATCTGCAAGGGGGCCAACCAGTTCATAAAAAAAAGAAACAAAAGATCAAAGTATCAAAAGGCTGAAGAGAAATCCAGCCAGACTGAAGAGAAATCCAGTCTCTCGTGGTAAAGCTCCTTGCAAACGAAATCTCTTAATACTATCTATCTCTTTTTTTTGGAAGGGGGGGTTTGGGATTTTACTTTCTCTGGTTTTGAGTTTTTTTTTTCTGATAATTGAACTCTTGGAATCACTAATAAATATCACAGAAAAAAACCTTGAGAGAAACACTTGAGAGAAACACCTTTGTGAGGCTTCGGCTATTGCTTTTTTTCTCTAACTCTCTTTGTCTAATTGAATCAGGAAACCATGTCTTCTGACAGAAAGCAAGAGGAGGCACCAGCCATAAAACTTGATAAGCTGCAGATGGAGGCTATGATGTCGTATATGATGAAGGAATTTAAGAAATTGGTATAGAATTTATGCGCTGGTAGTTTCTTCGTGTTGATCGATTTTACTCTATGCGTGTCGATCGATGTCAATGCCGGTAGGTGAAAGTCGAGTTGATTCTAGATGGTGCAAACTTCTTGTTGCAAAGTAGTCATACGGGTGTCTAAAGTGTTCAAGTACCGCATAAATAGAGACGTAAGCGATCGTGCTCATCTTCACAAATCTTCATTCGTTCCTCCATGGCTAAGAACCTAGCATCAATGGATGTGGTGGAATCAGTCTCGATCGATACGTGTTTCTCATGTTGACACTTCTCTTTGTGGAACATATCTAAATCCTTCTGGATCAACTTCATTTTCGTGCTTAACCAGTTGACGTTGTTATTGAGAGGATGGTAGACTTCATCAATCTTCGTGTTGAGGTATGTCTCGTTCAAAGGATCTACATTTCCTGTCAACATCTCATCTTGTGCAGATACGTGAATGGCGTCGATCAATGCGTTCTTAGTGGCTTCGATCGATGCTGCTGCTGTTGCTCCCTCTGCACGTCGTGCTTCCATAGTAGCTTGTTCTGCTTCCATCTCTTGCATGAGTGTGGTTAAACTTCTGATCCTGTCATGCAGAACCATGTAGACGGTATCCAGATTCTCGTTGAACTTAACTCCAGACCTCTTCTGGAGATCATTGATGCACCAGACTATGTCATTGATTTCTTCTTTGGTGAAGAGTTCTTGTTCCAAAATTAATCCATAATCTGGGCTGTTGTTGATTGATGCGTGTTTCCTCTTATCGATCGCTGCACGTGAGTCCTTGTCGGTCGATGTCTTTTGGTCTGTGTCGATCGATGGTTGGTTCAGCATGCCTAGTTGTTGCTAAAAGAGATTCTCTTGTCCATTGGCCATCTGAAGGATTTCTGCTATGTCCTCTTTGGATACTTGTAGAATGCTCCCATCCATAACTCGTGCGTGACCTTTTGGATCCCTGAAAACACCAAACTCGTCCGGTAATGTGATATTGTTTAAATAAAGAATGAGTTTTAGAGTTAGAATCGACCGATGTGTAAGCTTATGTATCGATTGATGCCGGATGAGAGGTGGTGATCTTTGGATGGTTGAATGTTGCACTTGTGGCTCTTCCATGAAGATATCTGAAGTTAGTGCCTCTCTTGATTTGTCCCTCAAAGGGCGTGGGTGCTTGCATCTTGTGTGATTCTATGGTATTAGACGTTCTTTTGGTTGCAAGACTCCTTAAATAGTCATATGTTTCCCTACTACGAATTGGAAAATTTTCAATTATCTTGAAGTCGGTGGCCTCCAAGTCGATTGATGTGCGCTGGTACGTGTCGGTCGATTTGCGATGTTGGTCTGCCTGATGAGGAATGATATCAATCGATGCGGGGTTGGGCATGTGGATCGATTTCGCGTGCTTTATTCTGTGTATGGGCTCTAGAAGTCTATCTTTTGTAAGAATATCATGCATCGCTCTAGCATACTCCTCTTCTTAATCCTCATCAGGCTCCTCTTATGATTCTCTGAATCTGGTAGGATTGCAGTGTCTATCGCAAAACTCGCATGGAAATCATTGTCTGCCCAACTGCCAATAGAGTAGTCATCCTGCTTGGTGATGGTGGCTTCAAAGGAAAATCTTGGATAAGAGTGATCTGGTAAGATTTCGTGCGTGGACTGTCTGTCGATCAATGTGTCATGATGTAAATCGGTTGTCGGCTGGTCGAAGGAGTCAGTCGATGTCACGGACTGCGTGTCGATCGATTCTGAATAATCGGTTTCATACTCTGGTCCACATGACATTCATCAATGAATCCAGCATCTCCAGTTTCTAAAAAGTGTATCTGTTGTTTGAAAACACGAACATGATCATAAAAGATAGTTGGGTCTACCAATATAAGGCAGAACCTATTGGTGTTCATGTCACAAACTGCTCCTACTGTGTCCATGAAAGCTCTTCCAAGTAGAAGGGAAGAATTCCAGTTCAGTTTGATGCCCAGAACATGAAAATCTACAAGAATAAGGGTATTACCAATCTGCATCTACAGGTTTCTGATTATACCTCCTGATTTCCTCTCAGAACAATCCACAAAAGTGAACGATTCTTTTAAAGGTTTTACTTTCAGATCCAATTGGTCTGCCATAACTTTTGGTAGGATGCTAACTGATGCTCCTGTATCACACAGTGCATGTGGGAACTCAATACCTTTCCTTGGTATTGAAAAATTCCTAGGATAACTCTTCTTCTTCAGTGTGACCCTTTGCCTCATTGATATATGGTGTTTTTAGCATATTCTAACAATGTTTTCTAAAGTGTTTTTGAGTCTTTATCGAGTCTTTTTAGTCCTTTTAAAGTCATTACAGGTATGAAGTTGCTTTGGATGGAAGATGGACCAGTTGGAGAAAAAGAGTGCAATTTGGGAATTTTCACGAAGAACAGTCTGCAAACTGTTCCCGAGCGAGCGGAGCAGCCTGAAGCGCCTGTTCCTGCAGCAGCGATTTTTAAGGGAAATACAACATATTTCGGGATTTGCCCTAATTCTCCTATTTTTCTCTCCAGCCGCCAGCAGCCTCCATATATCTTCTTTTCCTATTTTCTACAATAGAGTACGCTACTTTTTACCAGAGAAACAACTCTAGAGCTTTTGGATTATTGTGATTTCAATACTTTGTAATTTTGAGGGAGAAGAATCTCTACAACCTTTGGAGAAGATTTCTGAACCCTCTTGCTTATTATTTATTGATTCAGACATGTTTCTTCATCTCTTTTCCCTGTTCATGGCTGAGTAATCACTTGTTAGGTTTAGGGTGTTAGGGATCATGGATCAATGAGCTAGACACAAATAGGATTGTTATTCTTTGATATCTCTATCTATTGCTATACTTACTGCTTGTGTTAAACTGGCCATTCAACATCTGATTCTAGGTTTAATCTATTCATCAAAAGTGTTTTAGGTTGCTAGAAAAGGCATAGATAGGCGATTTGTCCCTAGCCAGCGAGAGTAGATGTTAGGGCAATTCGTGAACCAATTGAACCTGACCTTAATGCTTGTCATCAGTGTCTAATCCAAACGATAGTTTAGGTATTAGGATTGTTTGATAAATTGATAGACACCACGACAGTGGGTTTATTTAANGTTGTGTAGTTCATGATCCCAAGTATCCCAATGAATCATCCTAAACCTAGCTCTTTTATAATCTGAAACCAAACCAACTTGTTACTTGCTTTTTACGTTTTCTTTATTTTAAAACCCCATATTGTTTTAGCTTAATATTGATCCTATAAAAATAAAGTGTAATATTTGGTCTCTGTGGATTCGATCCTCAAGTACTACATTGAACCTCTTATTTGAGATAGTAGCTTGAAGGTTAATTTGAGCATATCAAATTTGGCGCCGTTGCCGGGGACCATCTCTTTACCTTTATTTTTTGGTTATTTATTTAGTCTAAAACTTCTAACTTGCCCTATCTTATTTGCTGCAGCTAATGTTTCAGGTGCATGACCAGTAGACATACTCGGAGCAACGCACAAGGAGATTTAGTTACACTTAGCAACCAGGAGCTAGCAAGGTTAGAAAGAACCAATCGACAACAACAAAGGCCGAACAACGCCACAATGGGCGACTACGACACTCCAGAACAACTCGCTGCTGCTTTGCAACAGATGCTTCAGATGCAGCAGACCATCCAAGCTCAGCAGGATGCGGCTGAACAGGCTGCTCTCGCGCAGCTGGAACGGCCGGAGCAAACTGCTCCGATCGGGCAGAGAAACCTACCGCGTAACATCCCTGCTACGCGCTCTGCCATTGCTCCACCGCCATGTACCAGGCAATACTTTGAGATCAAACCTGCC